ACCTCGCTCCAGGCCTGTGGAGCGGGGTTTTCGGGGCCTGATCGAGGCCCATGTGATTTTGTTCTCTGGCGGATGTCACGGAAACACATCCACGCCTGTTTATGGGCGAGCTTTGCCGAGGGCGCTGCCTGAGGCCCAGCGCGTCTAAACCGGCTTCCGGTGCAAGTTCAGTTTGGGTAACTAACGTGGACTCGTTCCAATGTGACCAGGGGAGGGCGTGAAGCATTTTTTGGAAGACCCTGTAATACAAATATTTAACGTATTAGCCTTTGTTACTGTTAGATGCCATCACGTAACTGTTGCTTCAGGGACCCTACATGACAGAGGACTGCCACCGTCGGGGGTTTGGCCTGTCACACCTCTATGGAAGCCGATTGCCTGGTCTTTCTCCCACGAAGCTGCGGGGTGGGTTCCAACTGCCAAGCATTCGGTTTGCAGCCACTTCAGAATAGAAATCTCTCGAGGAAGGAGAAAAAGTGCCTATCTATACATATGTATGTCGGTGCCAACTCTTCCTCAGCGAACTACTAGGCGCCAGTTGAACTAATACAACCAAAATCAAACTGCCGGCAAGGCGACGTAGAACTAACTCCCCTGTGAGCTTTCCGATGCTGTACCTGTTTAAGGGAGTCGAAAGCCCCATCTTTCTCCCGCGGAGCGGCTGGTGGTTTCAAAACTGTTGACCTTTCAGATCACAGCCCAACCAACCATAGGACACTGTAATGGCTTGAGAGTTCTGTAAAAACTTTTTCCTTAATCTTGGCTTACATATCATGTTTATTTTCAGCACTTTTCAGGGCTGTTATGTACATCTGCAAATGCCCTTGCTTGCTCTTGAATACTGAATGGGCAAATACGTTAGCAGTCATTGCTATCGATTTATTTCCATTCAACAAACATTGGAGGAGTCAGAGGCTCTGTGCTTTTTGGCGAATGAACACTGGGGAAGTAGATCTAGTGATGAGAGCCAGCACTACTCCAGTGAATGAGCAATTAACCAATTGGTTACAATGTATAAACGAATGAGATGATGATGTAGAGAAGACAGTGCCATTAAAAATAAGAAAGTGGCCCAGAAGAATGCAGAAATTATTCAACAACATCTTTAATATCACATGCAAGTAACATAGGGCTGAGGTTAATTCAAAACTGGTCACAGCAGTACATGGACAGGGAGCTGCCAGAAATTAAAGCTAGATTCAGAAGAGGATTTGGAAGCAAAGGAGATCTTTGCTAATATCAGCCAGGTGTTGGCCAAAAGCTGAATAACAGAAAAATGTTTCTCTGTGTTTCGTTGACTATAGAAAGGCCTTGTACTGTGTGGGGATCATAATGAGTGATGACTAAGAAAGCAAGGAATGGGAATTCAGAACCCTGGATATGCTCGTGCAGAACCTGCACCAAGAAGCAGTCGCTTGATCGCAACAAGGGGATAATGAATGGTTTGAAATCAAGAAAGGAACAATCAGGACTGCATCCTTTCATCATGTGCATCAACCTGTGTGCTGAGCACCTAGCCAGAGACACTAGACTACATGAAGGAGACTTCGGCCTCAGTGTTGGAGGCTGCTTCTTAGCACCTTCCGTTTTCAGATGACACGGCCTTGCTTGCTGAAAGCCAAGAGGACTTGCTGCAGCACTTGCTGATGAAGATCAAAGACTGTGGGCTTCAATGCAGATCACAACTCCGTGTCAAGAAGTCCAAAATTCTCTCTACTGTGAAGTAGATGGTCAAGGTCCACAAGAGGGCGAAGTGAAGTCAAGGAGCAAGGGAAGGGGGAGGGAGTGGAGTTGATTAGTAGTTTAAGGTGTTGAATACAAAGTTGATCTGAAATGTAAATCCCACCTAACATACAACAAAAGAAACTGCTATAAAAATATTTGTATACCATCCAAAACCCGATGACTGCTCATTTCCTTCCTATAATGAATTCAGAGTGACAGGTTTTCCCTCGTAGTCCTCCTTCAGCAAACCTCTCTAGGGGGCTTATCTCCAAGAGGAGGCTTTTCTTGCAAAAAAGAAAACGGTCAAATTTATTCGGAGCATCAACTAAGATAAATTCCCCTGGATAGGAAGGTAAAACCAAGAGTTGGATGCAAAAACTAATCAAGCAGAATTCCCTTTGTAGCTGATTGTATCATCAGTATTGATACTAGCAAATGTTTACTGAGCATTTTCCATACGCTGGATTGACATCCCATGTTGGGTTGTATGTGGACTCCTTAGGAGTGTAAAATATATGCCTCATATTTACTTTTCTAACGAGGTTAGGCTAAATATAAAATCCTGGATTAGAAAAAGTCTCCAGAGCTCAAAGGAGTGTCAGATTTGCCAGAGAACCCATTTGAAAAACAGCCACTTCTTCCCTCAAGATACGCATTTCTGTCCTTCATTTTGCTTGCTAGGTTTGACCTTTTCTTTTTGAAGGCTTCTGTTTTTCTCTCTTAATGAAGCAATTTGACAAAACTGGTTTTGTTCAACTCCCTTGTAAGGAACAGCTTTATGCAATGATCCACTGTGCCTGGCTCTGGGGATGCAGAAACAGCCTTCTCTGACAGAGCACTGACAGTATTTTGATGATTCGTTTATGACAGTGTGGCTTTCTGGTTCTTTTGGGACAAATTTGTAGCCCATAACATGCGTTTGAATAGTGTTATTTTCAGCAGCAGGTGCTTCTGAAATGTCCTCCAAACTACATTTCCAAGCACTCTTAATTGCATCATGTCAGCTTCTCCCAATGATTGATTGAGGTAGGGGGTTCCACCACATTTTTAGCCTGACATGTCTTGTGCCGACCCCGGCGGTTTGGCTTCTTGTTGTCAAATGGCAAAGGCTATCTTTATTTTCCCAGCTCCGAAGCCCCTGTCTTTTGGCTTGTGACTGAGATAGGCGAGGCTTCTCATGTGATTAAGAAGCGCCTGGCTAATTGTCCGCACTCTCTCCGTCACCTTTCACCTGCTGGGGGCGGGGATGATGGCCAGTTCCTCTTGTTTATCTGAAAAACCCTTTGAAACATTTACGTAAATCCTCTTCTCATGGTTGTGTTTCCCATTGTAGGCTGCTTTAAGAAAATGGCCCTGTCGGCCCAACAGATCCCCAGATGGTTCAACTCAATTAAGTTGAGCAGCTTCATTAATGCTACCCAGCTCAAAAAATGCTTGCTGAGACCAAGGAGAACATGGCTGCGCAGCTGTTCTACGCAGCCTCCGGTGTCCTCTGACAATTGCTTCCTCCAGTGGGGAATTAAGACTTATAGGACTTCCTCCGCGTGGACTAGTTCCCAGGCCACCAACTCAGGTCGGCAAGAGAATAGCTCGGCCCCAAATGCTGGGCTTCCTTCCTCGAAAGACGGACAACTGCAGGTGCCACAAAAGAGCCCCAACGCTGAAGCTGAGGTGCCACCAAAAGGTACTCCCGAACTTCCAAACCGTCTGCTTCCCACTCCCCTTTAGTAAATGCTAACCTATTGCTGGTCCTATTTAGTACCGGGCTGGAATAACACGCTATTCATTTACTTGCGGTACATCACACCTTTATCTTACTGATTAAGAAAAAGTTGGTCGACTGCTATAGGTCTCTGTATAACATTCCCTTTCCAAATACTTTATTATATAGATTCTTGGTTTAAAGAAACAAAAATTCTAATGGTCATTTGGTTTATTAGGGTACAGTTTACATCCAGTAAAATTCAACTTTTTGCTGTGTTTTCATCTAGAAGTTTTATTGTTCAGGGTTTGCATTTACTTCTCTATTCCATTTTGGCTTCATAGAAGATAAGGGTCAGGGTTCGGCCCACTCCCCACTCCCTTGGCCACGTGGATGTTTGATTACTCCAGCACCATTAGACCTGAAGACGGTGGGTTCATAACAACTGTGGGAGTGAGTCTACATTGAGGATGTAATTGTGTGTTTCTACGATTCCTTTTATTTTGGTTCTGTGGACGACGGTACTGTGTGTAGAAGATTAGAGTGCTTATGTAATGATTCGTTTAAAATCATAAATATATGAAATTACAAAGCAAAGACCCAGAAAGTCATCAGAAAGCCAAGTTCACAGCAGTGATCATCAAATAAGTAGTTTGACTGTGGAAGGCTTCCGGAATTGAGTGAAAACCACAGGGTTATAAACATAGCAGGGCTACTTGTAGACCATTTCACTTTACTCACTCCTGCTGCGGGTTTTCCACTTGAGGATGACTTACAACGAGTGAATTGGGAGGTCTGTCTGTGGAGAATCTGTTTTCTTTGGTTGACCTGGATGATGAATCAGACAAACAAACCTGAACAAATAGGTTGAGTATCTTTTAAGTCAATAAAGCACCCACTGAGGTTTGGATATATTTAAGAGAAACCAATTTCTTCATAATTAATACCCAGGGGCCCCTTGGAAGCAAGAAAGATCAGCCGTGGAAGACTCCATGGGGCACAGTTCTCCCCCGACACAGGGGGTGTGGCACCAGTGGGGCTCAACTCCATGACAGTTGGTATTGGTTTCAAGGTACAAATGCTAATGGGCAAGGCTTGGCCCAAAAGTATTGTCATACGGTGTCTTAGAAAGGAATATTTCACTACAAATGAGATGCTATTAGGTTAAGTAGACTTGAACAGGAGGAGAGGCAGAGATGTGAGAACAGCTATAAAAAAGGAGGCAGGGCAGTGATTAGAAGCAAAAACGGAATGAATGATCATATCCCTGACTCATTAGTTTAAAGTATAATAGAGCTTGCAATATCTTCCATACTGTGCTTGATAAAAACATCTAGTAATGCAACTATCAGTTGGAGAATATACGATTTTTAGACAACATAGCAGAAAGAACCTGTTCGTTCACACTGTAAAGAAAACATAATTTTGCTGTTAACTCTACTTTTCTTGTGAGCCATTTTCAAATGACACCCTTTACTTAAAACATTTAAGCCACAAAAAAGTATATTAAAAGAATAAAACAATTATTTGCAGAATCAAGACTATATGCCACTTATGTCTATGCAAAGGTGCTACAGAATCATAGAATCTCATAAAGACGAGGATAACTTGGAGGGAGTGGATTTGGATCAACACAATCCAAAACATTTCAACAGGGAGTGGTGGTACCTAGTTGTGGGGTACAGAAAGGTTTTTCCCCAGGTTGTCCCCCCATAATATATGCCAAACCTAAGAATGCCTGGTCATTGACTGTACACTTGGAAGTAAACTGCTTAGAGGTTATCTCCCTGAGGGTTTTCAGCCATCTAGAGCAACCAGACCCTATTGTCTGTCCCATCCTAAGTAGGACCCACTCCCTGCTGATAAGGATAGTGGATTGTTTCCCTGAAGGAGAGCCCAGAGACAAGGTCAAGCCAACTCAAGGAGGATCAAGGTTAGGCTGCCATCTTGAATCTAGGACCCACCCATCTTGTCACATGTGCACCCCTAGTGCCACCCCTTCCTATTGCATGTACACCCCTAGCTTGTCCCCTTCCTGTCTCCCGTATACCTATTGTACAGCCCCTTCCTGTTACGTATGTGGTTACCTGTAATCAGGGGGACTTGCACGTCCCTTAAATGTATATAAGCCATGATTGGAAATATATTCTCACTCTGAGCAGACCTGGCTGCTGAGATCATGGCCGTCCAGGGAGTGAGCGCTTGCATGCTTTATATTGTCTGATGTCTTTAATTTCACCCCTCAATTACACAACCGCCCCTTGAACTCATTCGATTATGGGGGCTGGTACCCCACACCCAGTTTCTTTTTTGATGAATGAAAATGTTTCGGAAATAGACATTGATGATGGTTGGACAGTGTGGATGTAGTCAACAGCACTGAATAGTACACCTACAAATGGTTAAAATGGCAGTTTTTGTTGTCCAGTTTTTAAATGAAGGAGAAGAATGGGAAGTTGTGTGCCTTGAAATTGACCAACAAACATCTTATCTTGGAGGGGAGATGGTTGGTCTCTAAATGGCCTTAATCTCCCCTTCAAAGACAGAACACGACTGAAGCATTTAACCAGTGACAGCTGCAAACGAGGGAAGAGGTTGTCTGAAAAATTGGTTCTAGCGTGCAGATGGGTAGAGCTAACTTACTCTCTTTTCCCATGGGACTGGCCTCAAAGGACTAGACGACTGGCTCCCTCCGACCCCGTTGCAGCCAGTGTCCGAGCAGGAGGCTATTCAGATCATTGCAGGCCCTCCGCTGCCCCCGGATTCACTGACGCTCCGAGACTACGTGGATCATTCTGAGACGCTGCGGAAGCTAGTGCTTCTAGGTAAGTGGAAGCAACCTAACTTACAAGTACTTCTTGAGCCTGTATCCTTCATGTTTGGTGGGAGGGGGAGGGTGGTTTGCCCTAGTTATTTAAATGAAAGTTTGTAGTTGTGAGCCATTTTTAGTTGGTCTTTGTAATATGAAAGAATGCCTCCTCAAAGACTCCGTGCCATTGGTCAGTTCTGACTCCCAGTGACCCTAGAGGGCTGAGTAGAACTGCCCCCTGTGATTTGCTAAGGCTGTAACTCTTTACGGGAGCAGAGAGCCTCAGCTTTCTGTCTTAGAGGTGCTAGTGGGTATGAACCGCGGGCCTTATAGTGAGCGAGCAGCCCAGTGTGTCACCACTGACTGCGTCACCAGGCTCCTTCTGAGTGGTGCAGGTGTGTGAGCAACAGTCGGGGAGTGGGAAAGGCTTCACGTGACCGAATGCCTTGCTTCATGCACCACTCCTGATCCTGCATCCCGTTCTCCACAGGTAGCCCCTTTACTGTGATAGCTGCTTTTATTTTTATGAACCTCTCAGTTTTGTTTTGTTTTTTAATACTTTTATTGGGGGCTCGTACATCTCTCATCACAATCCGCAGTCATACATTGTGCCAAGCACATTTGCACATATGCTACCATCATCATTTTCAAAGCATTCTCTTCCCACTTGAGCCTCTGATATCAGCTCCCCAGTTCTTCCCCCTCCCTCTCCCCTCTGCCCTCCCTCACGAACCCTTAATAAGTTATAGATTTTTATTTTCATATCTTACATCATCTTCTTTCACCCCTCACCCACTTTTCCATTGTTCATCCCCCTGGTAGGGGGTTATAGGTTGATTCTTGTGGTCAATGCCCACCCACCCCCCCACCCCCACCCCTCCCTCAATCCTCCTGCTATCTCTACTCTCTTTGTTGAGCCTGAGGGGTTTACCTATCTTGGATTCCCTGTGTTGCGGGCTCTTATTTGTACTAGTGTGCATGTTCTGGTCTAATCCGATTTGTAAGAACCTCCCAGTTTTTAGGTAGTTGTTTATTGCACTATTGCCGGGTTCATCAATTTCAGATTATCAGTTGATTTCTTATATATCCACATAGCCTTTTCCCCTGTTCTCTTCAGCTCTTCAAATAAAGTCATATTCCAGTTTTTTAGATAAATCATTCATCAGTGGTTACATTATGACTAGATATTGCTTGCTGCTCTACCAAAAAGCACTTGGGGGCTTTATAAGTTTCTGGAACTTTTCCATTATGTCTTAATTCCATTTTTTCCACACGCTTTCTGAAGCCGCCTCGTATATTATGATTGCTTTCCTTCCTGTACAGGTTTCCATTTTTCATGAGTTAATAAATGCTGTGTGTGTGTGTGTGTGTGTGTGTGTGTACTAGTTTTCCTATACCTTATAGTAGCCACTCAGTAGTCTTTTACCTGCCATTCACCTGACCATGTGATGACTGAGTTCTACTTCCCTATAGTGTCCTCCCTGCTAGCCCCTGCCTGGGGCCTGCTCTGTGGCTAGCAGAACTTGCTGTTAGTTAGGTGTGAGTATGACAGGTGAGGGCGCCCGGGACAGCACTGCATTCTCCCCTCAAGGCCCTTACTTTTCATCAGGCCCCTCCGTGGAGCCTTCTGCTCTGCCCACGGGTCTAACTTGATTTTCCCAGACAGTGAACCTCCCTTCTTTGGGGGTGCTGAGAAGAACACGACACCTAAGGGACTTGGGCATCTCATGTTCTCCATGGGGATCGTACCCACCAATCCCTGTGTCCACCCGCAACTCACCCTCAATATCTGATGATTCTGATTTCTGAGCCATTTTGCATTTGGGGGGGCTACACACCAGCCTACCCCTTGTCAGGCATCTCTGTGTGTTCCCTCATCCATTGCCATCTGTTTTCATTTCTGGTGGTTTGGGGTTATAGGTAATTCATGCTTCATCATAGAAGGAGCTTCCTATCCATATTCCCCATATTTTTGAGAAGGTATGCTTTATATAAGGAGAGGAAATGGGGGGAAACCTTTGCTCTACTGGAAACCCTTGGGGTTTTCTTTGATTCTTGCCTCCCCGCATCTTCTCACATATAAGTAGGCCCCACATTCTATAGAATCTATTTCTGTTTATATTCCTTCATCCGCAGTCACTGCCTTCGAGTGTTAGGTCTTCTTTTCACTGCAAGAAGCCTTCTCACTTGACAGTCGTCTTCCCAGCACTGATGTCCTCTCTAATTCTCGTGTACTTTCCAAATTCAGACTCTCAGTGGTCCCCTGAAACCCTTCACAGCCCAGCCTGTCATGGCATCGGGCGCTTCTTGGTCGGGCCTCTGCTTAGATTTGCAGCTTCTCTCTTTTGCTTGACCGGAGCTCAAGGGTAACATGTAATAAGTCTCCCGTGAAAGATACAGATGAAGTATCAGTCTTGAGTTCAGAGGCAGGAGAAAGATGACGCTTGAAAGCGGGAGAGCAGGTCACCAAGCCTTTCAAACAGCTGCCCCCAGTAGGCTTTGCGGGTGATACAAGATAAACATAGGATCTGGTCCCTATCTTTACATTATGCATAGTTTACCGAGCTATGGGCAGAACCCTGGCACCATAGGGGTTCCAAGCTGCGTTGCAAGGTCAGCGGCTCAAATCCACCATCCACTTCAGGGAGAAAGATGAGGCTGTCTGCTCTTGTAAAGGGTTACATGAGTGGGGTAAATTTCTGCATCTGAATCTTGTATTTGGACGAGTCTGAGTGGTAAATTAAAATGATGGTACCTTAGAAGGGAACTACGATTGCATTGTTAACACAATGTTTTTGAGGACCTAGAGGTGTTGATTAGCCTCTGTTTGCTTCTCAGCTCTGCTTTCTGCCACCACCCGCCTGTTCTGTGTCCCAGGGGGCCAACTCTTGTGCACAAAGGCTCCTTTGCCACCTGGCTTCTGAATTCAGTCAGTGGGAGGCACCTGCAGGGGAATAGAAGGGCAGCAGGGGGCCATTTCTCCCGTTTCCTCCCTGCCTGGGTTCATATTACTGCCTAGCTCCATGACCACAGCTCTTCCTTAGTAGCTTCCAGCTTCCCCCAGGACCTGGTAACACTGTTTTCCTCTCTTGTCCCTTTAACCCTAGAGCGTATCCTGGTTTATTTCCCCAACCCTGACCATGCCTCTGAACAGACTCCCTCCGTTCAAGGTCTTTTCATGTGAACTTTCTGGGACACTTGTCTTCTAGAACCGTGTTGGATACACTAAATATTTGTGGTTGTCATGAATACAATAGGATCTAATCTTTGAAGTTACTCAGCTCGGCCTGTGATCACCAGAGGATGGAGTCACACAGTATTTCTTGTTCATATCTCCAGTCATAGGGAGCCAGTGAGTGTGTTTTTCAAGTTAACGAAAATCACCGGTGAGCGCAGTGCGTGCTGACCCTGCTGTGCTTCCGCTAGGCTGTTGCCATTAAACCCATATTTTCTGGGATGTCTGTTTCAGCGCAGTCAGGGTGTGACTGAGCAAGGCACATCAACACATGCGAGCTGTGATACTTGGTTAAATAGAGTTCCACCCCCTATTTTTTTAGATTTTAAAACATCCTTTCCCCATTTATCATGGCTTTTTTTTAAGACTGGTTTCTATATTATTTATCCCCCCAATCATTTCATCTATGTTTCTACTAATACTATAATTTTTTCCGTTAGAAAAGATTTACTTCTAGTTGTTGAACGGGCACATATAATAAGACAAGAAAAAGACCTCTTGTCCTTGCTCCATCCCCAGTCAACTCCACCAAGGAAGCCCCCACTGCCAGTTCATTGACTAGCCTTCTGGAGCATTTTCCATGCAGCTATGTGTCACACAGATTTTCCATTTTCACACAAATTTATATGGTACCATGATTTAGGAGAGCCTTCCTTTCCCATTTCCAATATTATTCTCTTAATTCTAGGTTCTTAGATTGCCAATCAAGCTGGATATGATTTTGCATAATATAGAGAAAGCGTTCTTTTCATTTTTCCTAAAGCTATAGCCAGAGAGCTTAAGATATTTCAGTGACCAGTCATCTCTTCAGTGATTTGAACAATGCTCTACTAAGTTTGGAGTTCATTCTGAGTCAGTTTCTGTACTGCTTTAAGTATGTATGTGTTTAATTTCTGTTCTGTTGCTGGTTCTCTTGTATAAATCCCTGTCTGATACGAGAAATTTGAATTGGGGGTGGCCCTTGGGTTAATACTAGTTAGAATTATACAGGATATAATAATTGATTTTAGAATTGATTGTGGAAGCCATTTTTATTGCTTTTATGTTTAAGATTCTAAAGTTGGATGTTGACTTTGGTTTGGGAGAGTTATTTTTAATCAGAAGAAATGTTAAGAACATAAAACATGCATCTAAATGTAAAGCTTTACATTCTCTTCAAAGGTTTGTTCTAAAGATATATAAAATGCCTTTCCTTTTCACATCTAATTTAATTTTGCTTTTTTGCTAGTATGTGGGGGGGGGTTTTCTCAAAAAAGGATAAAATGAGAGAATAACGCATTCAATTTTTAATGAGAACTTTGAATTAGTTACTTGTTTTTTGCCCAATCAGTGCTGACAGAGTGCTTTAAAATAGTAACTCAGTTCTTCCCTCTTCTCATCCTTTCCCTTTTGCTCTTTGTTCTGCTACATTGACTCAGATTACCCAAGACTGAGGATAAGTAAAAGATGGTTTGAATACATTCAGCTTTCCTCTATACCTGACACTTAAACATGTAGTGAGATCCTTCAGGATTACTTGCCTTGTGCTAAAGATCTGAATGATGACTGGTGAATATGACACGTGATGAGTAAGACACATGGCATCTTTATTCCCTCATTGGAGGGAACCACAAGCAGATTTTAAAATAATGCTTAAATAAGGAAATAAGTTTTTAAAAGAAATCTGTTTACTGTATTCAGTAGGCTTGTTACCCTGTGGAATGAGCAGTTGAGCAGTTACTATGATAGTCAAGAAAACAGACAGCGTTGATGTACAGAGTTAGGTCTGTCTGACTTAGTGAGTTTGTTTGTTGCAGGAAATCTAGCACCAGGTGCACTGTTTTCCTCTATACATACTTGGCTTTGAAATAAATACTCTTCCCATTTAAACTTACTTTTACCTCTGTAACCAGTTTGGTTACATTTGTAATTGTAGAAGTGCCCATTGATGTATCAGGGACCCACGGTGGTGTGGTGGATACACAGTAGGCTGCTAACCAAAGGCAGCAGTTGGAACAACGAGCCTCTCTGTGGGAGAAAGATGAGGCTTGCTACTCCCTTAAGTTAGTCTCAGATATGTCAAAATGACAATTTATAAATTATCAAGGGCTCACGAGGGAGGGGGGAGCGGGGAGGGACGGGAAAATTGAGGACCTAATGCCGGGGGCTTAAGTGGAGAGGAATATTTTGAGAATGATGAGGGCAATGAATGTACAAATGCACTTTACATAATTGATGTATGTATGAAATGTGATAAGAGTTGTATGAGCCCCTAATAAAATGATTTTTTTAAAAATAAAAAGGAGACGATGTCAAGAAAAAGAAAAAAAAAAAGAGTTAGTCTCAGACACCCACAGGGGCAGTTCTACTCAGGTCTGTGGGGCCACTTTGAATTGGAATCCACTTGATTTTAGCAGGATTGAGTCTCGGGTTCTCTTAGAAGAAGCTGCTACTCTTGTTTCCTCTGCCTCTGTGTGTGAACTTCAGTGGCTGAAGCTACACTGCTGTCTTCAACAGTGTCTGTGATTTTTTTTAAATAGGAGTGGATTTGTCCAAGATAGAAAAACATGTGGAAGCTGCCAACCTTCTTCTGAAACTAGATTTCGAAAAAGATGTTAAGCAGATCCTTCTGTTTCTAAAAGATGTAGGCATAGAGGATCACCAGCTGGGTTTATTCTTGACTAAGAATTATGCGATTTTCTCAGAAGACCTTGAAGATCTCAAGATCAGGTAAGGTTTTCAGAGTGATTCTCACGTAACTGAAATCCCTGGGAGAAGTATACCTGTATAAAGTCTGCTGTAGAAGGATCTGTGGAGGTAATGAGGGTAAATGTTATTTCGTTATTTCGCTATGGCCCTTCTTTGATGGAAATTCAGTACCTGAAGTGGAGCTCTTTTAATTAACTCTCCGTTATTTTTTTTCAACTTAACGGTTGTTGTTTTTAGAAGAATACATTGCTTTTTAAATCCATTACTAATGAGCTAAGTTATCTGAGGGTGCACTAAAGTTGTGAAAATGCCAAATTTTGTGTTTTATTCTGGCCACTCTCTGATGGCAGACACTTGGCAAATTGCTGCATCATTTGCTTGATCATTTCTATAAATTGCCTATTTCGATGGTCCCCACTCGCCCCTTTAAATGGCATGTCTTAAATCTTTGGAATCTTGAGGGGCACAGATGGTTAAGCACTTGTATATTAGCTGAAATGTTGGCAGTTCAAACCCAGCCAGAGGAGGACAGGTGTGGTGCTCTGCTCCTGGCAAGCCGCAACCTTGGAAACCCTGTGCAGCCGCTCCGGCACTCGCAGGGTCACTGTGAGTGAGCCTCCACACGGCCGCCGCCCCGTTCTTAGCATGGATCTATCTACCCAGTCCCCTGCTGGCAGACACAGGGGCTGTTTGCAGACCTTCCTATGTTAAGCTAAGCCACTCCAGCTTTCCTTGTGTATTCTTCATTTCCCACAACTGGAGTATACTTGTAGGAAAATGCTTTAGATATGGAATTGTCAGGTCAAAAAGTGTGTTCGTTTGTTGATAGACCCTATCAAGTTTTCTTTCATGTAAATTGCCCTCCAGGACCCTCTCCACCCAATAGTGCACGCAAGCACCAATTACAATATTATCCTCCTTTATACAGTGCCATTCAGCTGGGTACACTCAGCCCACTTTATAAATAGCTCCTTGTTGTTTGGCAAAGAAGTGTCATTTAAGACGTCAAATGTTGGAACATCAAATGCTTGGAGCTTGTTTTTGTGTATGTTCCATATTTTTGTTCATTTCTATTTGCATATCTTTATGTAAACTATACATGTCCCTTGTTTTTTGTCTTTCCCCCCACTTATTTGGTAAACATTTCTTTAAAGAAAACTTTTGGATGATTACAAATACTTTTTTTTTTTTTTTTTGATCTTGTTTTCACCTTCTTTTTTTTTTTTTTAATCAATTTATTGGGCCTCATAAAATTCATCACAATACATAGATCAATTGTGTAGAGCACATCTATACATTTGTTGCCCTCATCATTCCCAAAATTTACTTGCCTCTTGGGTTCCCGGAATCAGCTCATTTCCTTTTCCCCCACCTCCCCCTCCCTTCCTCTGCCCCACTCCCCCATACACCCTTGATAATTTATAAATTATTATTATATCTTATAGATTACAAATACTTTTAACCTTTTGATTTTGTACATAATGTTTTTGCAACCCAAGCATTTAAAGTTTCTATAGTTCAATGTATCGGTCTTTTCTCTCATGGCCTATCGACACTTTTCAATAATCATTTAAGGAGCTCTGGTGGTGGTGTAGGTACACATGGGGCTGCTTATCCACAAGATTGGCAGTTCAAACCCACCACCACTCTGAGGGAGAAAGATGAGGCTGTCTGCTCCTCTAACGATTTATAACCCCAGAAACCCTATAAGGCTGTTCTACTCTGTCCTGTAACTGTAAGTCAGGACAGCAGTGACTTTGGCTCAGGCTTTGGTGGCACACAAGGTTAAGCATTCAGCAGCTAGACAATGGTTGGCTGTTCAAACTCACACAGCTCCGTGGGAGAACGACCTGGCGATCCGGAAAGATTACTGACAAGACCCTATGGGGAAGTTCTGTGCTGTCCCAGGGGGTGGCTCTGAGTTGAAATTGAATCAGTAGCCACAACAAATAATCACGTGGCTATGAAAGAAAAATTCTGGTGTATCTTATAGAAATATGGACCGTAGAGGTACATCTGCCAGCGTCCCTACCTTAACGAAGCCACTAATTCAAGACCACGCCCAGCTGGTGATCAGACAAGTTATTTAACCACTCTGAATCCATGCTGCTTAACTCGGTATTAAGCTATAATGTGGAACGACTCATGTCGCTCATAGATGTGTGTGTATGTAAATTAAACAAGATCTGGCATTTTTTAAGGCTTTTAATAAAAGCTACTTTATCATATGTTCATAGATTTTAAAAATCAATAGTGTTATTTTATAGCCCAACTTTCTATACTTACTGCCATGTTTTGGTTTCTGGGAACTTAAGGGATTTTCTCAGCTACTAAGAGAATACTTCTTGAAAGACTTCATAAAATTAGATTGGCTCATAAAAGTAATGCACTCAATAAGCATACAAAGTTTAAAAAAAACTCTCAATTATAACCATACTCAAGGTGCTTTCTTAGCAAGAAGAGTTTTGAATACCTTCTTTAAAATCAGAATAAAGGAGTCTCCTTGTTTGTGGGTGTCAGAATTTTTTTATTTCCAATACAAATTCTAGAAGCTTGTTTATTGCTTGCTTTTTAAAAGTATATTTGGGTCATTATTACAAAATAGTTCTTATGTTTTCTTTTGGAGGGTTGGTAGCCTCTTTAATGTGAAAATCAGTTTAACTCTGGGAGGCAACAGATACTAAATGTTTATGATATGTATATTTTCTCTCTCTAGAGTGAATTATCTGCAGTCAAAAAATTTCAGTAAGACGGATATTACACGCATGGTCCAAAATGCACCATTTTTACTGAATTTTTCTGTGGAAAGGCTAGATAACAGACTGGGATTTTTTCAAAAAGAACTTGAACTTAATGTGAAGAAGGTAAAGAAAAAGAATTTGTACAGTTTCGTGTCAAGTACATTCCTAACATATTCCTAACCCAATTAAAGCCTATAAATGTCTGGCATTTTTGTTCAAGAATAAATGACCGTATACACTCGAGTATAAGCTAATCTGAATATCAGCCGAGGCACCTAATTTTACCACAAAAACCGCAGTAAAAATGTGCTGGAAAACTCGGCTTATACACGAGTATATACGGTACCCTGCTAGGTTGAAAATAACATTGCTGTTCTTAGGTGCCACCTAGTCGGTTCAGACGCATAGTGACCCTACGTATCACAGACCGACACGGAACGCTGCCTGGTCTTGCTGTGTTGTTGCCGTGTTACGGGTTATTGTTGCAGCCACTGTGTCTCTCCAGGTCATTGAAGTTCTTTCTCGTTTTACCGATCCTCGACTTTACCAGGCGTGGTGCCCTTCTCCGAGGACTGGTCACATGTCCATAACACACAGAGGAGGGCCTTCTACGGAGTCTTCTGGCTATACTTCTCCCGAGACAGATTGGTTCATGCTACCGGCAGTCCACGGTTTATCCTTCACCAAACACCGTCATTCAAATGAATCCATTTCTTCTGTCTTCCTTACTCATTTTCCAGCGTCTGCGATGATCACAAAGACCATGGCTGGGCTGGTCGGGTGCACCCAGTCTGCAGACTGACATCTTTGTTCCTGAACTTTTTTAAGAGGTCTTTTGCAGCAGATTTACCCAATGCAATACATCATTTAACTTCTTGACTACTGCTTCCAAATAAATGAAATATGTGGCATCAATCTTTTCTCTGTTTACCACGATGTTGCTTATTGGTCCAGGTGTGAGGATTTTGTGGGTTTTTTACCTTGAGTTGTAATTTATACTGAAAGCTCTAAGCTTTGATCTTCATCAGTAAGTGCTGCAAGTCCTGTCTTTCAGCACGCAAGGTTGTTCATCTGCATATTGGAGGTCTTTGTTGGGTCTTCCTTCAATCCTGATCTGTTGGGGTTTTTTGTTTTTCTCATTCCGTCCAGCTTCTCAGAGAATTTACTCAGCATACAGATTGAATTAGTATACTTAAAAGAATCCAACGCAGACATGCCTTCCTGAATTTAAACCATGCACTCTCCCTTCTGTTCAAAAGATTACCTCTTGATCTGTGTACAGGTTCTGCACGACCACAGGGAAGTGTCTTGGAGTTCCCATTCTTCACAGTGTTATTCTTAAGTAATATGATTCACACAGTTGAATACCATAGTTCATAAAATACAGTTAAACATCTTTCTGATATCCTTCGCTTTCAGCCAAGATTCATCTGACATCAACAATAATATCCCGCATTCCTTGGCCTCATCTGAATTAAGCTTGGATTTCTAGAGTTCCCCTTTATGAATTTTCTCCAACAACTTTTGTGTACAATATTAATGATGTATTAGATAATTTCTGCATTTGGGTAGATCACCTTTCTTTGAGATGGACACAATTATGGATCTCTTCCAGTCTCTTGATTGGGTATCTGTCTTCCAAATTTCTTGGCGTAGACGAGTGAATGATTCCAGTGTTGCACCAGTTTGTTGAAACATTTCAGTTGGTATTCTGCCAATTCCTGGGGCTGTTTGTTTGGTTTTATATTTTTGCCAATACCTTCAGTACAGCTTGGAGTTCTTTAATACTATTGGTTCTTAATTATGTCACTTCTTGAACTGATTAAACACTTAGCCATTTCTTGGCTTCAACCTGAATTTGCATATGGACAATTAGTGGTCTCTTTTACAGTTTGCCCTGGGCCTTGTTCTGACTAGCAATATTAAACACCTTGTCTTGTTGCACAGATGTGGTTGAATTGCTCCCTGTATACCCCATCGGGCAAGGTTATATATGTATCTTTGTTGTTGTTGTTGTTGGGAAAATATTTCCAATGAATAAGTTGTTGGTCTTGCAATAATTTATCCTGTGAACTCTGGTGTTATTTCTATCACCAAGGCCATAATTGCCACCTGCTGCTTCGTTGCTTCCAATTTACCAATAACTGGTAATGACCAGTGCATCCTGACTGCATGTGTGATGCATTGCAGACTGCCGAGCTTCAGTTTTTCCGTCTCACTGTCTGTGGCATTAGTAGTTGGCGAGTAATTTGAGGAATGTCAGGTTAATTGATCTTCCTTTAGGCCTATGGATATCATCCTATCACTGACAGCATTGTCCTTTCAGATTTTGCAATGTTTTTTAAACAGATTTTAATGTTTTTTAAAAGAAGTTGATAGCTGTTCCTTCTCAGTTTTATTACCAAGTTCTTCATATGACACATAATTAGCTGCTTTTTATAATACTCGAGTTACTTAGGTCTTTACATTTTCACTATTTGTTTTTGCTTCAAACAATACGAAATTCTCATAAAACGGTTCTTATGTTTTAAAGTTCTTATGTTTTGACTGGGTCATATCAAATTTTTGTTTTATAATGATGGCACGCTAGCGTTCTAAGCTTGAATAATATGCATATGTAGTAATAATGCATTTTTTCTCCCCCTTTATAATTACAGACTAGAGATCTGGTAGTTCATCTCCCAAGGTTAATAACTGGAAGTCTGGAACCTGTGAAGGAAAATATGAAGGTAAGATAACTTTATCGTAAGATTTTACAAAATCCACTTCCTTCTTTGTGTGTTGATTTTGCAATTTGTCGCATTCAAGAAAACTAGCTATTAAAAGAAGCCGTTTTCTTAGAAAGATAGAAGTAGGAAATCCTAATTGTCTACGAACACCCTCGCGGTGGATCGACTCAGTGGCTGCAACAGTGGGCTCTAACAGCAATTGTGAGGCTGCTGCAAGACTGGGCGCGGTTTCCCTCTGGTGGACCTTGGGTCACTATTAGTTAGACCCAACCTGGGGGCACCCCAAAACAACAAGCAATGCTTTCCTTCCTGCTGTTGCGAGCTGTCAGTGGTGAGCTAACTTGCAGGCACTGATGCCCATTGCCCTGGAGTCAGAAAGTAGGGCCGGGGCCGGGAGGGGTGGTACCTGGAAATTGTTTCTGTTGCCCAGCATGAGTGTCCGTGTTACAGAGGTGGGAGGGGTGTCTGCATTTTTCTCCCCACGAAGCACAGCATGGCGGGCATGTTGCTCTCCTTGGCCCCCTGCCAGTTACAAATTCAAGCTCTACAACAACCAGGTGGCCCCGTTCCATCTTCTTCCTCCAAGAGACTAGTGTGAAGCCAATGGCCAGTAACTAGTCAGGATGCACCACTAACGATATGTGGTGATAAAAGACCTGTTTTCCCAGGTACTTTGAGTATTTCCCAGTGAGTCACTGAAGAAATTTTGACCCAGTCCCTACTCACCAAGTCTGGTGCTAGGAGATGGGATGGGCCGTGTGTGTAATCCTGGTGGTAATAGCAGCAGATTAGTGCGGACCGCAGCACACTATGGCCCTCACCCACATGTGGTGTTTGACTTTGTCATCTCCCCCTGGAATGTTGACGTGTTGTTTCAGATAGCAAGTATATAGGCCAGGTTGGAAGTCGAAACTCACAAAAAGCACAATGCTATCAAGTGAATTTGGAATCCAAGTGACCCTATTTAGAGTTTTTGAGGCTGTATCTTTATAGGATAAGGTGACCAGATTTTAACATTGGTAAAGCGGGACACCATTGATAAAACTCATATCCTGGCGAAATAGCCACATGGCAGCCGAAAACCGTATACCCTAGCTTGTCGTGCATTCTTTCCAAAAATCGGGACTTTTTTAAAACACCGTGGCACATGGGAAAAGTTGTTTAAAATCGGGACGTCTGGTCACCTTATTATAGGAGCAAAAAGCCTTGCCTTTGTCTCTCAGAGCAACTAGAGGGTTTGCACTGCCAACCTGGAGGTTATCAATCCACTGCTGACCTGGCAATTTTACCAGAGCTCGTCAACGTTCAGAAAGCCTCGGTAATCTTTACTACTCGTCCATTTGGTGTTGGCTCACACAGATAAACTGGCTGAGCCTCCCATGCCCCTCGTTGCTGTCTCATTATTAAGATAGCTCCAACTAGTCCCCTTCGCTCTGATCACCTGCAGGCCTTCAAACCCGGTCACCTCAGAAGGAGGAAGCTTGGGGCCCTGGGGGAGGGCATCGGCACACCTCTTCTCCCAGACTTGAAAAGATATAAAATCGGTATGCCCTCTGGCCAGGTTCCAGAATGACTATTTCTTTTCTTGATTCATAACAACTCTGCTTTTAAATTGCAGGTGTATCGCCTTGAATTTGGGTTTAAACGTAATGAAATTCAGCATATGGTCACCAGAATCCCAAAGATGTTAACGGCAAATAAGAGGAAGCTCACGGAGACCTTTGACTACGTGCACAACGTGATGCACATCCCCCACCACATCATCGTCCGGTTCCCACAGGTAATGCCATCTGTCCACTGCCCTCCAGCGGTGGGGTGGGGTGGGGTGCCACTCATCTGTGCAAAGTCACAGCTCCCAGGACAGGCATGCCCAGGTCCTGGGAAGACACTGTTCCTCTGTCCTTTCTGCCTATTCTTGGTTCTACCTAATGGGGCCAGGCAGAACACATCTAATGGATTTGCTCTTGTGCTCTTGTCCCTTTAAACTTGAAATAGATCTTGTTCCTTTTAAAGCTCGCTTCAGTGCTCTATGTGTGAGCTTCGTATCCATGGTCTATCCGGATTAACATCCCATATTGTGATGCCTACACAGGTTTTGTCCCTGTGTGCTGTACTTTTCCCACAGTCTGTGCTTCCTGTGCGGTCCATATCCATTGCACTGGCCACCCAGGAGTCACAGACCGCATTCACCATTAACGCAGAGAATAGGTTACACAGCGGGTGAGCAATGTGTTACAAGGTTTCTTCAGGGATGCTGAAGAAGGCCTAGTGGTCTGTGCCACTCTGCTGCAAGCTCCAAGCGGAAGGCATTCCCCTCGAGCTCCCTTGGGTCAGCGAATCCAGCCCCTGGATGAAGTGCTCAGAGGCACCCCACTCTAGTATGCTGATGTCTTGGTTATGTAATGCACCTGTAACAGAAAGACTACAGGTGAATGATTTTAACAAACAAATTGGTTCTCTCACCACTTAGAAGGCTAGGAGTCCAGACTTAGGGCACCAGCTCCAAGACAAGGCTTTTTCTCTGTCAGCTTTGAGAGAAGCTGCTGGTTGCCTTTCAACATCTGTGGGCCTGGCGTCCCGTGGAGATCTCCATGCACCTTGGCATCAGTCTTCCACTGGGCTTAGGAAGTTCTTAGAGCAGGGACTTCAGATCCAAAGGATACACTCTGCTTCTGGTTCTTGGTGGTCCTGAGTGAGGTCCCTGAGATCTACTGACTTATTTAATCTCCTTTGCATCACAGAAAACAAAAAAGCAAACCTAGTGCCACTGAGGTGATGCTGACTCATAGCGACCCCATCGGACAGGGTAGAACTGCCCGTGTGCGTCTCTAAGACTGTCTGTGAATCTTTACAGGGAGGATACACCCTTTCTCACGCGGAGGGGCTGGGATTTTGAACTGCTGACCTTGCAATTAGGCTAACACACAATCAAGATGCAACCAGGGCTGCTCTTATATCAATCACAAAAGTATTGGGCAACTCTGCTGCACAGTACTGAAAAACAAAGATGTTACTTTGAGGACTAAGGTGTGTCTGACCCAAGCTATGGTATTTTCATTCACTTCACCTACATGGGACAGTTGGACTTTAAATAAGGAAGACAGAAGAAGAATCGACACACTGGAATTAAGGTGCTGGGGATGAACAGTGAAAGTACCATGAACTGTCAAAAGAACAAACATCTGTTTTGGAAGAAGTATAACCCGAATGCTCCTTAGAAGGCAAGGATAGCCAGACTTTGTCTCACATACTTTGGACATCAGGAGAGACCTGGAGAAGGACATCATGCTTGGTGGTAAAGTAGAGGGGCAGCCAAAAAGAGGAAGGCCCTCAACAAGATGGATTGTCGCCATAGCTGTGCACTGATGAACTGAAACATAAGAACAATTGCAAGGATGGTACCAGATCAGGCAGTGTTTCCTTCTGTTGCACATATGGTCGTGATGAATCAGAACCAAATTAACAACAATAACACAACATATCTGTGTTAGGCCGGGTTTACTAGAGAATCAAATCCAGTAGCACTCATATATGTATAAGAAAGCGCTTTATATTGAAGAGTAATTGTATATTAAGAAAACATCCCAACCCAGTCTAGATCAACTACATGAGTCTGATATTAGCCCATAAGTTCAATACTAGTCTAAAAATCCTTCTTCAGACTCACGCAGTCGCATGCAATGATGCAAAATGCAGGAAGATCATAGGCCCGATGGGTGCATAGTCTAGTGGATCCAGTGGTGGCAGAAGCAACACAGCACCGGCGTGGGTCTCCATGTAGCTCCTCCAGCTCTCCAAGGGTAACTTCTCAACAGGAAGGTGAAGCAGAGAGAGGAAAGCTTTAGTGGCTTGTCAGTAGGAAGACCAAATATGTTAGACAGGGTTCTCTAGAGAGATAAAACCAAACTGCTGATAATTAAATATATTTATTTATAAGGATAATTAGATATATAACAAGAAATGAACTATTAAATCATATACAGATAAATATATAATACAAGAAATGAACAGTTAAATTATAAACACTACAGATGGCTCAGTGCAACTCACTCCCGTGAGAGAGAGTTGTGAGAGACTAGCAGTCTTTCAAGTCTAGTCTGCTGCCAGATCTCCCTCTGTTTATAGAGT